ATAATAATAATAATAATAATAATAATAATAATAATAATAATAATAATAATAATAATAATAACAATAATAATAATAATAATAATAATAATCCAATGATGGACATGGCATTTTGAAGTAATGGAACTTTGGAATCTATGACCAGAGAGTCAGTTACTATTCCATCACCTCTTAAAAGTTGTTTGCAACTAAAATCTGTGGGAAGAGAACCAAAGTCTACTGTCCCTACTTGAAATTTATTGATGCAAGTAGCTGATTTGAGCAATAATATGTAGTAAAAGTAAAGCTGTCCTTGAATTTGAAGTCATACAGGAAAGGGAAGGTACGGCTCAACACATTCTCAAGCTTGGCACAAGATGGAGGTGAGTGGTCAGCATCATGCCCTGGCCACTGTACCACCACTGCTACCCACGGAACAGGAGGCTGCGTTGGCCGCTGAAACAATCTCGATAAAGAGAAAAATCTGCTCCTGCAGGGAATCGAACCCTGGGTGTCCAGCCCATAGCCTAGTCACTATACTGACATATCTATCCCAACACAGAACATATGGTAGAATAATAATCTTAATAGGATAGTTACTGATTCTAGTGACAATAGCAGAAAACAATTTACATTATCATGAAATTACAGCAGTACATCTCCTCAACTGTACTGAGAAGCATACAACCTCTGCAATACGATCACCATTTAGGGCACTTAAGGTAAAAATTATGATGTGGAAGTCACTAGAGTTTATAGCCAATGGGTTCATGACAGTCATATAAAAGCTGTATCTGTGACAAGTTCTGTTGGAGAATTCACGGAAAATATCTACAAAACAGCAGATCAAGCATCACATCATCATCCAGCAGAACCACAAGCTTCATATTTGAAGACTTCGAAAGAAATCATTCCACCCAACACTTTAAGTTGTTATTTAATTTGATCTTTGATCTTAATTTGATCTACCGCTTCAATCGCAATACATATTATCGCTTCTCCTATTTGTTGTTTACAACAAAGATAAATTCAAATTAAATTCTGATGTCTATAACATGAATACTAGACAAAAATATAACTTCCACCTACCCTCATCAACTTTATCAGTATATCAAAAAGGAGTCTACTTTACTGGCATAAAAGTGTTCAACAATCTGCCACAAAGTATTAAAAACTTGGGCAATTATACTAAAAAGTTTAAATCAGAGTTAAAGAATTATCTACATGCTCATTCCTTCTACTCTTTAGATGAATACTTCAATGTAAATAGAGAATGATGTAAAATTAAGTTATATTAATTTTTAAGCTAAAATTGCCTGTGCTTATGTATGTAACATTTTGACTTGTTCTGTATCCAAAGGTACTAACCTGCTTAGGATTTACAGAATGTAAATAAATTCAATTCAATTCAATTAAAAAAAGAACTAATCATATTTCTGCCAAGAGACTACGTAAGGGTTCACCTGGGTAACTGATCAGGCCACTCTCCATCCTCTTATAGTTTATTACAACACATCAGGACTAGAAAATTGTGTGAAAGAAGAGTGTGTATATACCAAGAAATGATTGAAGCACAATAGATCATTGAAGGTCGCAGTGCGGGGGTCAGTTATTATGACCCATCCCTTACATACATTACATACGCGGCCTCCGTAGCCTAGAGGTAACGTTCCCACCTCATGACTCGTAGTATGCGGGTTCAAATACCCGGCGGAGGTCGTCGAATTTTTAAGGGCGGAAAAATTCAGGGAACAAGTCCTCCAGGAGGGACTTTAAGCTGTGGTTCCCGTGTCGTAGCTTTACGGCACGTAAAAGAACCTCATACCTCCAAAGGAGGTCACTGAGCAAAATTGCGGATGTTTGCTGCCCGACAGCAGTCACTAATACCTCCGGTAGATGGGGGAAGCGTTACAGATGCTTCTCAGCCAGTAGAGCCAGTCTCGCTGGCTGGGCGGGACTGATGGTAAGCACCAATACTGGCAGGATGTAGAGGCTGGTAGAAATCATAGAGGGAAGCACAATGGACCACTACAGGTCTAAGTGCATGGGGAAACCCACCCTCTCCAATAACTAACTAACTAACTACATACATTACATTACCAAGAAATGACTGTCTTGAGCATACAGCAAGTACATTCAACTCTTTCAAAATCTGCATTATACATCACTTGGTTTTTTTATGTTTTGTCACATTTAATGATGGCGTAAGTTTGCTGTATATGAAGTGTAAAAACTTCTGGAACTAATGTTATTATGAAGAAAGTGTTTGTGATATAATTGGTTGAACAATGAAGCAACTTTCAGCATGTACTAGTCTTACAGCAACTGAGAGAAGCCACATTTTAACACCAGAACATGTGTATTAATGGGCCAAAGAAAATAATATAGGAATTACATTCTTCTACATAACACAGAAACAAATCAAAGTTCATGTTGTAAAACTGATGCATGGGCTACAGTTTGTTAAACCATTCCTGGCAAATACAGCCCCAATAAGTTTGTGCTCGTCAATAGTTCACAGCTTTAGCAGAAGCATTTCTGACCAGATATTATCCTTATGGATACTTTTGACAGACATTCTCTTCACTCTAATACTGTTCATACTCTTACTTCTACATGAAGTGCAAAATTTCTGACCTCGTTAAATCACACTTAAGAGTCTGTCATACATATTCATTGGGCAGTTCTGCAGTGTCAACAGATGTCTTAACCATATTTTAAACAATTTTATTATGGTTTCTTTTAACAGATTACAACAAATTCTTATTGGAGCACCCTATTTTGATAGCAATAATGTTTCATGCAGAAATCAGAAAGTTGTGCTTTCTTCTAGCCCTCTTTCTTTTTGGTTCACATCTTGTCAGTAACAATTCCTATTTCTCATTTTGGATGCCCCCATAACTGTAAAATCCAATTCTTCATGTGAATGTCTTTAAATGGCTCTCCACATTTAGCATGAACCTAAAGTAGAAGTCTCAATCAGAGCAGTGCCACAAATTCCTTCCATTTGCAAAAGACACCTACATGACTGAAGTAAAAGAAACAATACTGAGAGTACAGTTCATTTCTACTGACTAAATTTTGTATTCTTACTGGAGCGTTATGCTTGGAAGTACTGCGAGATCTTTTCATAGCCACCGGTGTTTCCAAGACTCCAAACGAAAAATGAACATGTTGCTTGTTCATAATTTAAAACTGTTATTTCTAGGGAGAATAAAAGTCCACTTTAGTTATTTCTTTTCACTAATTGATAAATCTGTTTATACTGGATAAAAGTATGTCCTTTGTAAAAGCAAATCACATGTTTTTTTCAATTAAAAAGGCTTATAAGATGTTCGTAACTCCCTAATTATCGGCAGACATACATACAAAATTTACGCAAACAGATTCCTTGAGAAACATTACTGGTGGACACCAAATTCTATATTTCTGACTCTTCAAATAAAATAAATATTTCATATTTGTGAAAAATAAAATGGCCTACTGCATTAATTAATACATAGGTAAGGTAAAAAAAAAGGTAAAGTTGTCCCTGTGCTTAACTAATGAAGCTCTAAGATATGAAGGTGAATGGGGGAGTGGCTGTATAGATCCACATTTTCTTGACTTCGGCACTAGCTGGAGAGGAGCTGTCAGCTCCATGCCCCGGCCACTTTACTCCAGGGAAATAGCTCCCAGTAGTCATTGTATAGAAGGTTAGGTGAACCCCAGAGCCCGTCCGTACAACGTAGAGAAGAGAAAATTCTTGACCCTACTGGGACTCCTCGGTCATCCAGCCTGTAGCCAGTCACTATACTGACTATACTATTCCAATTCCTTATTAATATACATTGCAACAGTGGACCAGAAAGGTTAAGTATACGTACTAGTAAAACAAAAATCCTGAAAACTGATGAAGGTATGCTTGAACTTTACTTCACATTTACATGATTTGGTATGGAATGACCCATTAACATACATAATTGAATTAAATTTTGTTTTCCTTGACACTACAGCACCAGTGGGCCTAGGCCTACCTCCATGAACTTCTCCGTTCACTTTGGTTTTTCTAGATCTTAGACATACGGTAGGACTCCTTGGGCAGGTGATCAGCTCGTCGCAAGGCCTCTACCTGTACACAAACACAGAAAAACGCACACAAACATCGATGCCCTGAGTGGGATTCGAACCCATGATCCCAGCTTCCAAGCGAGCGAAGACAGTGCACGCCTTAGACCACTCGGCTACTGTGACCGGCACTGAATTACTTACATACATTTTTTTATAGAAACATATTTTGACATTCTGCCATGAGCCTACCTCTCATTACTTTTAGCATAATTGCTAGTGACATACATAGAATAATGAGGCCACTGAGTGATCCAATGGACAGCAGTGTGTATATAATGTAGATTTTATTCCATTCTAATGACAGCCACACAATGACAGTCTCTTTAACAAGCTTATATAGTTTGGCATATGACCCAGACAGAAGTACTGAGCTGTTTTGAAAACTACTGAGAAGATCTGCCCATACTGAGCTGTCTTCCCATAAGGCAGTTCATTGTACTGTTTCTGGAGACTGCAGCCTATATGGCCTTCATAGCAAGTGAAAATGAAGCTGAGCTGTGAATTCTGCAAGGGCACGCTGAATGTCTATGCATATTTCCTGTTGGGCTTGCTCCATAGACAGAAACACAGCCATGTCTGCAAATTTTTTACTGCATAAAACAACATTTTTTTTTTATTTTAAACATTTCTGCATCTTTGGTGATTTTGATATTTAAATCCCCAAGGTTCCCCTTGTCAGTTTGCATTTATTCAATGATTTGTATTGTCTTCGGTTCTCGCTTTATCTTACCTGTAATGTTATTCTGAACTTGGTCTTGTTAGTTTAAAAGTTAAATAAATTTGTAAGATGTGAATATTTTCATGATGTCTTGTAAAAGGAAACACAAAACATTGCCTCTTGAAAATAAAACTACAGTACTAAGAAGACTGGAAAAGGGAGAAAGGGTCACATCATTGTGGAATTTTGGACTCAGAAATCAACGAGTGATTTAAAATGCAAGAAATCAAAAATAAGGAGTACAAACTCCACTACACACTTGGTTTCTTCAACAATTCTGAAATACTGCGCTGAATGGAGAAATGGTGTGTGAGAACTTGAAGTTCTTTCATTCTAAAAATGCAAACAAAGATGACTTCAAAGTCAGTACAGATCGGCTTGGTAAATTCATCCAGAAGTCTTGGAGTAAGCTATGGCCTACACAGAATGATTATCTAGATGACATACGATATAAACGTGATCAATGTTCTGAGGACCCACTAACTGTAACTGATCTTGTAAACACAGTTTCACTGGGTACAAATTTAACAGAAGTTCAAAAATTGGCTACAGGATAAAATGAAAAATTATACTATGCAAATGCCGACAAAAAATAAAATCACTGAAAATGTTCTGCATGAAAATGATGATCACATGAAGTCAGACAACAAAGCAAATGACACAAATGATATGTGAAAAGAAAATCTGATAACACACAAGGATGCCATTGACAGTTTCAACACTTGCTTAAGTGGGCAGAATGAACTGAAGTACCTATTCATCAAAATCTTTTACTTCATCACTTGAGTGTCCAGAACTGCAAGAAAAGAACAGAAGGAGCAAAGCAGAAGAATACTGATGACTACATTAAAACATTTTATACATTTTTGATTGTTTATATACAAAGAGTTCTTTAACTCTGTTGACCAGTTCACAGCTCTGCACTTTATGGCAACAAGTGCACCACAAGGCACATACAAATTTTGTTCATGTATCAGCATGCCTGATGGCTGATAACATTTGGAATGAAGGGCAGTAATTAACTTATGGACCGCTTGATGGCATTGCTTCATGGCAAGCAATGCAGTTCATGAGTGGGAGTTTGTTTATGATTTGTCAGCAGTTATCAACTCCATTAGCCATTTGTTCTCAGTTACAGTTAATGGGCAGTGTCTTATGTCATGGCACACTATATTTTAGACCAATACATAGTTCTGTATGAAACCTACGTGAAATACGGATCTGCTGAAAGTGTCAGCAAAAATTTTTATGTAAATTTTGTGATGAAACAGTTCCTGGCAGACAAACAATTCACAATTTGGCGAATAAACTTAGAACAATGGGGCTCTTAACAGACAAGAAACAAAAACATAAGTACCAAGTGCTTACTGAGGAGAAGTGAGATAACAGAAAGGCCAGACTTGAACATACACCTACAAAATCACTGAAACATCTAGCTCAAAAGACTGGAGTGTCAAAGTCTAGTGCAAGAACGGCAAAGCAATTGCTGAAGCTTAGACCCTACAAAACAACAGTAATCCACGCACGCCTTAAAGCTGTGCATTCAAGATAGCAAGGTTCATTCTTGCAGTTGATTTCTACAGTCTGTCATCAAAGGCGAGATCAATCCTCAATTGTCATTCTTTCCTGATAAAGCATGGTTTCACTTGCAAGGATATGTAAATACACAAAATAATCATTATTTAAGTTCCCTGAATCCGCATAATCCATTAAGTCTTGTTCTATCCAGTGACAGTTGGTGTCTGGTGTACTTTAAGTGCAAGAATGATTGTTGGACCTGTGTTTCTAAACAAAACAATTAATTTTGAAAGATACGTACAGGTTATTCTTGGGCTATTATTTTCAGCATTAACAGAAGAACAAAGACTCTTTGGCGGGTTTCAGCTACTGCCCACACTGCATATATGTCTATGCCAGCTTTGCCCAATCTCTTTGGGGACAGAATTATCAGCAGTGGTATTTGGCCAGCACTTTCACCAGATCTTAATCCTTGTGATTTTTTCTTTCTTGGGTTATTTGAAGGACAACATTTACAACAGTCACCTCCTCCCCACAGACAGAAGAACTAAAACTATTCATGCAAAAACTGCAAATATTCCTACAGAATAGCATTACAATTCAGCAGAAATTTTATTATGTAGTATGTTTATGTAGTTTTAGATGACATCTGTAAACAACGGTCAATGTACATAAAAAGCAGTTACGGTAAAAATAACGTGCGCTAACCGGACGACGAAATGTCGAAATATATGGCTATAAAAATGTATACATGAAATTAATTCAGTTATACACACAGACATGTAGACAGCCCATTCTAGATACCACCACACACTGCTTGTAACTTTCTGCGCTATTTTCATTTTATTGTATTCAATAATGTCTGTAATGTCCTTTCTTAAAAATGAATTTACAGTTATGGATATATAGCATAATACTATTTGACGAAAATATCCAGTAATACTACCTTATCTGCCGAAACTTGTTTCATTTTAAAACACGATGAATACTAAATGTACTTCCAATTTTCATAAATTTTTACTGCAGCTGATGAAAATATTTCTGTGCAGAAAATTCGCGCCAGGTCATCTGATAATTTCGCGCAATTTCCCTTCATTTGAGGTTAAGTACGACCAGAATTAATAATTGACAGTACCTTCTAAAACTAAATAAGGACTCCTTTTAGATTTACGTGTGTGTGAACAGACAGTTCATGCCAACACTTCCCTTGCTTCTTTTCTGTCAATTATTATTAAAACTAAATAATAGATAATTGTTTATACACACCACATGCTTTACCACAACTTTTCATAACACACATCATAACCAACGCCATCTACCCAATGCCGTGATCAGCTTACGATTCGCCATCTAACCAATAACACTGAACTACGAACTTATGGGCTTAACTCTGCATTAGAGGCGTGTGTATATCAACAAACAACTCGGGAACAAGGTGAGCCAGTGTCTTGCGGGCTGTTCGTTCATGTCATTCGCGTGCAGTTATGCGTGTCGTACGATGTTCCTTCTTTGCCATCGACTGCTTACGCAATTAAGAGTGGCAAATATCTGCTAGATCAGTGGTTCTCAACCTTTTTACCACCGCGACCCAATTTTCATACTTCATTATATTCACGACCCAGCGCAGAAAATATATAAACCATACACGGTCATACATTTACATAAAAAAAAACACACATTGCTTATTCAGATTTTGCCAAAATTTCTTCATTAACAAACAGCAGTATAACAATGTAGACGTTAAAAACTCACGTCATGGGAAATTTTGGCTTATTTTATTGCTGGAAGCCTCTTTGTCCTTGGATTAGCTGAAGAAAGTCCACATAGAAAATAGTCTTTCACACTGAGTCTGCTTATGTGTTTAGTTTTAATTTGCAGCAAAGTTTAAAATCTTCGAAGCAAGCAGTCTTCTGGGATGTGGCACCGTGTAGATGTGGTGTTAACTGACGTTTCAGAGGAATGTATCGCCTCCATCTTCAGGGTAGAAGGAAAATAAGAAATCTTCATTCGCATTCATAGTGTGATGGAACAGCAGAAGAATTTTCAAAACAGTTTTTCAAGTGCTGGATAATCCGAGAGCCTACGGAACGGAAACTGTGCTTCCGAAACGACGAGAACTCAATTCTGATGCCGGTGTCATCATTTTTGCAGATTCTTTTTGTACAATTTATATTTCATCAACGTCATATGTAAAAGGAGATTTGACTATAGGAAAGAGTTTGATGTATCCGGGGAATATTTTGAGAATTCCTCAAACTAAGCAAATACGTTTCAATTTCTGGAAGTAAGGTGTCATTCAAGCACATGCCACTGCTCCTTTCTTCTGGGCAAGCAACCAGAATTGGAAACCTTAGCTGGAAATTTAACTTCGCAGTATACACTAAGATATGAAGTACAATATGCACGAGCGTGGTCCTAAAAATAGTACAAGGGCTCTAACAATGATTTTTGGAGTGTGTCTTACATTGGGGCAAGGAAAAGAAATCCAGACAAACTAAAACAGTAGATGCAGTGATAACAAACAATGCAGTCTGATCACAGCTCTGAAAACCACCTTGCAAACTTTTAATAGACGCATGAAAGAAAAAAACTGGATTGCTGCGTAAGAACTTTAAATGCAATACACAGATATTACCAGTAAAAGACACCCGACACGACAGCACCACTAAAAGTAGTTGCACAGCAAAGACTTCGTATATAGTATGCAATGAAATCTGGATATTAGTTCCTTTTCCACACCCTCTCGCGTATATGGGCTTTATTACCTTCCCTTTATTAAAGTGAAACATGAAATGATTTCGATATAACATTCGCAACCCATCTGAATATTCCCCCTGACTCAATTCTGGTTCACGACCAGTATGTTGAGAACCACTGTTCTAGATGTTTGCTGTGTTACCACTGATCTTTTCAGTGGGTACTGGTGTAAAGGAACCAACGGGAAGTAAGAAATTTACATAAATAGTGGAATTACTCGAGAGAAAGTGACTGCAAACATTTGTGTAAGATGCCAGCTACTAGTTTTGAAACTTACTGATAGTAACTGGACCCAAAATATGCAAACGTCAGAGCAACCCTAGAAGCTGGTTAGCAACCACACCAGATTAAAATATATATAAAAAAAAACAAATATTGAAGGAGGAGCTGTAAAGAAATATGCATAACTAAGAGTATAAACATTTTTTGAAAATATTATTCTATCCTGAATACGGTAGGACGGTCAGTAAAAGTAGTCTTTAGCAGTTTAAACGTAAGTTTATAAGGAAGTGTTCTGTCCCGCCGAAGAAAAATTCCCGGTGTCCTCCACGTACACTCATGTGATGCATCTCTGTTATTGCACTGATAGTGTGCAGAGCTCTGATTCAACTTCAAGAATAAGTAAGCGTATAATTACTGACATCTATTATTTTGGAAGTGCATACGGAACTCTAGTATTTGTTGTAAAGAAAAGTGCGGTAAATTACGTCACAGTAAAATAAAATATATCAGCATCATAAGTATTGGCATTGGCGACGCCATAATTTCTTCCGAACGTTCGTTTCAGGAATTTAAGATATTTTTTAAGGATCGTCCTATAGTATTTAGGATAGAGCAATCTTAATTTTTGGTACTAATATTTGGCATAGCTCCTTCGAAATTTTCTTAAAAAAATAGCGGTGACAAACATGCCTAACTGGTCGATCCCGGTCTGGTCAAGTGGGATTTGTGGTGGACAAAGTGGCGCTGGGGCAGGTTTTCTTTGAGTACTTCGGTTTCCCCTGCCAATCTTCATTCCACCAATTGCTCCACAATCACCCTCACCTATCATCTGGGGCTGGTACAATAGGCCAGAAGTGGCAGCAGTACAAGGGACTTAGTCCCACCCTACTATCATAAAAAAAAAACATGCCTAGATTCCCCCCCCCCTCAAATTTGCCGGCACCGAAGCAGGAAACACAGCAAATGTACTGACTGATTAAGAACTGCCATAATTGTGTTAGGATGACTGCACAAATTACATTGTGTACAACGGCCTCGTGTACAGTAGGCTCATATCAAATTTACACACCTCATTACTTATAGTAAAGTTATATTTTGTTCGTCCAGTTTCCTAAGCTTGTTTGCTATTTATTCACCATATGCATTATACTCTTCCCTACAGTCTGACAGCAGTACACTTCATAACATGCCTCTTACAACGTGTTGTCATTTTGTGTAACCAGCCTCTGATGTTTACTTTGGTGCGCACAAATTTTCATTTCCTCTGAACAGGGATGTGATGAAGGGGGCTCTGGGGGGAACAGGAACACCTTGATAAATTGTTGTGACTACCTAAACCCTTATTTAAAGAAATTTCGATAAATTAAAAAAATATATATAAATTTAATTTATAATTCTAACTCGTTTCTCCTTCAGTCTACCGTGTTTAAATACAAATATACCGCATTTTTAAGAGCATTTTACCGGCTACTCCAACAGCCTGTGTGGTAAGCGATAGTGTAGCTGGTTGAGACACTATCCTACAAGCCGGAAGGTCACGGATTCGAGTCCCGATGTCACTGGATTTTTCGATTGCCCTAATCCTTCAGCCGCACTATTGTCCTGGGGCAGAGCCCGTCTCTAACAGAAATGAGTACCGGGTTATCTTCCTGGGGGTAAAAGGCAACAGGCGAGTAAGGATGACAACCTCACTCCCATCTGTGAGTAGATTGTCTAGAAAATGTAGGATCCTCGACGTCTTAGAACCTTACGGCCCTCCACGGTCTGTTACAGGTAGAGCTTAACCGTAATAGCCTGTAATTTTCTGTCACTTTGTAGCACTGCCCACAAGCCGTAATTGCCAGCTGCCGCCATTAGTGGTCAGGATAACAGGGTTTCTGAACTTTGTTCATCGCCTATCTATCTATGGCTCAACAGTCCAGTTGTTGAACCTTGGCCGCTTTTTCACTTTCTTAATCTATATACAGTTGGTAGGACTCTTTAGACGGGGGTCAGCCCTTCGCAAGGCCGTTGCCTACACACAGAACAAACGCACAGACATCCATGCTTTGAGTGGGATTCGAACCCATGATCCCAGTGTTCAAGCGAGCGAAGACAGTACATGCCTTAGAATGCGCGGCCACTGTGATCGGCATTTGTTCTAAAAACATACACACACAAAATAACACAATGTTTCGGAAACTGGATGTTTCCGTCCTCAGGTTGGAGGTGGGAGACACCTATTCTGTTGGACCGTTAGAAAGAGCCAACTTCGATGATGTCCAGTTGTTTTTTTTTTCCCCAATATCAAATGACAGACAAAGCCCAGAAACCATGTAATCCAGTGTCATACACCACCGTTACAGCCCTTTACAATTTACCAACATTTATGGTGTAGCGAGTCTCGGAAATGTTCCCCGTTTAGAAAACTGATTATTGTAATATCGGTTATTTACAATAAGATGTCAAGATTTGTGATAAAATGAAAAGTAAAGCCTGCCACTGTAGTTTCTTGAAACGAATCAATCCAAAACTGGCCAATAGACCAGGTAGAGATTAACACAAAGGACGCCCTCAATGTAACAGCTCATCCGAAAGCCCGGACTTTTGGTCTCGGTATGGTCAAGAATTTTCTCTTTTCCACTTCGTAGCACACCGGTATTACGACTGCTCCTAAACACAAATAATGCTTCTTTATTATTTTTCGTTATTGATAACGTTTCACATAAGCCATACTAAAACGTGTACAGTAAAATGGAAAATGGTAAGTATGGTCCTTTAGTCATTACCACGGTCCGGATTTTTATGCCCTAATAACCCCTTAAATATATATGCATTTATTCATGAAAAACTGTCAAAATATGCATATAAAATGATCATACGAAATATTAAAGTTGATTTTAAATTATTTTAAAACGAACATATCAACATTTAAGTTAATTTTATGTAATCTCTGAATGATTCAGTTGCAATGAAAAGCTATACTTAAATACTGTGGAGTATAGACCCGTTGCTAGGTAACGTCCGCAACACTAGACCAGCGTTTTCTATGTGGTTCGCGCCGCGACGCCTGGTTCCGACAGCAGCCAAAAGAATTTTATGCTGCTGGCTTTCAGGGGCTTGTGAAACGATGGGACAAGTTCCTCAGTGTACAGGGAGATTATGTTGAGAAATAACAGCATTTTTCAAATCATTGCTCTTATTTGTTTAAGTTCTATATTCATTTGTAACTTACTTATTGACTTACCTACGTACATAAGACCGTAACTATCAAACAGTAATAAATATCTGGTCACGAACCCCAGATGGACCAAGACTTACTGACTGACCGTCAGTCGCAATGTAACTTTTGAGTTTGACTACAGGAG